TTTTAATCGCACACTGGACTCTACATGATGATAACTTTCAAAAATCAACACAAGAGGTCATACTTGATAGTTAAGGATACCTAGAAATGTACTATAGATTAAAGATGTTTGTATACTAGAATAAAGAAATACTGTTTCATTCTAAGACTACTGTTTAATGAAATGCAGGAATAATCCCCAAATGCTAGCGTTGGCAGCTGATTTTGTAACTGTATGTTAATTAACTTCATGTGTTTGAAGTGCAAAAGGGAAGTGTGCCTGCTAATATCACGTATGGATCGGTGCTGTATGTAAAATCTGTCACTTACCAGAAAGTCTGAAACTTGTTCTGTCTCGACAATTGGGGTCTGTAATAAAAAAGTATTTACGTTATCTGCTGCAAAATTCTCACAAATAATTGTCTACACAAAAGCATGTTGTGCACGCAGTGTGACCTTGATCAGATTCAGGTCAGAGAAGTAAGAGCGGGCGTTGAGAGTTGCGTCTGTGGTGCAGGACTGAGGAGTCAACATGCGAGTACAAGACAGCGACACAGACCTCATGAACTCTGCAAGAAGAGGAAAACAGAAGAAGAAAGAAATGGTGCTCAATATTGTTTGGATGTAAAGGCTCACTTAACCACACATAGCATGTTGGGAATACAATTTAATCAAAATCATGAACAGAAGACCTTTCCTCGTTGGCGCTAGGACACTTTACTTTATTAGGATCCTATTAGCACTAGCATGAGCAATTTCTTTCTGGAGTTTAACTGTAAAACTCTCTACACACTACAACCACATAAACACAACCATCAAAACAGCATGTTTAGATTGTTGTGAACTTACTTGCAGGATTGCGGCTGATACAGAATGCAGACGCTGCCCCTGGAGATGGCTGACGAAGGAAACCCCGCGCGGACGAGTTAGATAAATATGTCTGGATAACATCATCCACCTACAAATGTGGTGTGAAGAGTTTTATTAAAGATTAATTAAGTTGTATTCATGTATAAACGTTTGATACTTTGAATACTAAGTTTAGATAGAATATTGTGAGCAGAAAAACGTCATATCTGTAGTGTTTACCCTGTAGAAACCTCTGCTGTAGCTGATGGTTAAAGGTGCTGGTGGGGAGAAGTGGTACGAGTCCCCTAAAGGAGGAAGCTGCTGTGGCGCTGGGAGGGACTGGGGGGATTTATCTGTTGGTTCGATGTAGATTTTTAACAGCATCAGAGGACGGTACATACAAGTTGCTTATAGATAGTCTTACAAAATAGGCTGCAACATAATTAGTGATTCTCCTGGTGACAGCAGTGTTTATGGTTACTCTAAATCCTTTACAATTAATATACTGTTATAACATCTACGTACCTTCAGGCCGGACACAAAACAAGGAGTCTGTCACAGTGACAAGAGACGTATTCACGTTAGCCCTGAACATCAGCCATTTCTCAATGCAAACTCCTGATCTGTAAAATAAAATAAAAACTCTTTAAATGCTATAAATAAGTGCTTTATGTGCTGTGGCTTTAGTGCATGTGCCAAACACTTACATGGCTTTCTGAGGACATCCGGTGAAGACGGTACTCAAGTTCGCAATCCCACAGTCAACTGTATCACAACAGCAGCCGATGTCACAGAAATCAGGGGTTAAATCACAGAGACAACCTGGATAAGAACAAAAAAACACTTGTGTTAGTCAGGACAACTGCAGTTGAGTATACAATTACAGAGACACGGGTTTAAAAAGAGTACACCAAAAGACAGTATAACCCTTCAGTCCACAGAGTTTATTGTATGAGCACTTTAGTTGTAAAAAATAGGGAATTAAACAAGGATTGTGGCAATTAATCCTATTGGAATATTATAAGATCTAATTGGAAATACACTTACACTTGAATGAATACTAATATATGTACAACAAGCTTAATAATGAATCGTCTATTAAGATCTGAGACATTGTTAGTGAATAGTTTCACACAGCAAGTATTACAGTATACAGTAGGCAACTGAAAAAATACAAGACTTATAAGTAACAGTTGGTGTTCAAAATCTTACTCAAGTACAAAAGTGATAGCATCAAAATGCACCAAAAGTACTGTTTATGCAAAATGACCAATTTCAAAATAGTATGTAGTATATTACTGGACTATGTTAAGTGATGCATTATTGTGAATATCACTTTAATGTTGATTTGGGGAATGTGGAGCTATAATTACTTTGTATTCTGATTAGGGATGCCAGAAACTGACCATGATCAAATTCGAAAATCGGACAGGCCTGGCGAATATTAATCGATTATTCGCCCCCCCCGGACTTTTACATTTAACAGAGTATTCCTACTCTCTGGTACTTCTACTTTTACTTAAGTTCAAGATGTGAGTACTTCTCCCACCTCTGAACAAATGTATTGGAGTAAAAAAAAGTACAAAACTCCGTCAGGATGTAGTGGAGTAGAAGTATGAAGAAACTAAATTGTAATTAGTTACAGGACCTGATAAGATAATATGAAGAATACAAGAGGTAGGTGTGAGTTACCCTCTGAAGAGAGCAGGGGCTGGACGGTGGTTACAGGAGGACCTCCAGTGACCTCAGCGGGGCTTTCAGTGACCACAGCGGGGCTTTCAGTGACCATAGAGGGGTTTTCAGTGACCATAGAGGGGCTTTCAGTGTCCCCAGCGGGGCTTTCAGTCGGAGTCATGGGGTCCGGGGTGACCGCCTCGGTGGTGGAGACTCCGGTGAAGTCCTCCGCCGCTTTACCGCCCGGAGCAGCGGTCTCTGAACTGAACGACCCCCCACCTGTAGGGCTGGGGGTAACGGTTGAAGTGACCCCCGGGTCTGTGGCCGCGTGAGCCGAACGTCCACACAACACTACCGAAAATATCAGAAGTAACGGACACCACCGGCGGGGATTCATTTCTACTCAAAGAGACACAGGAAACTATCTGATATAATGTTTACTTTACAGTTAGCTGGAGGTATTTCTCCTACATCGCTCGTTACAATTTCACATCCATGAAGTCTTACAGTAAATTATAATAACTTTGAAATAAATAAACTATTCAGGAACCCTGGATGCATTTAGCTTAACATTGCTACACAAGCTTCTTGTTACCAAGGAAGTAGTCACGGCAACTTCCGGTTCTGAAAACGCTACCGTAAATAATGTAAAAGAGAAGACATGTATTTGTCCAAGTTATTTATTTTCATAAGCACACAACAATACTATTAAACATGCTTTTTAATCACCCAAGTTAAACCAAATAGAGAATATATGACATTAAATAGGGTAGGCCTTAGTTAAGATAGGCCAAAACCATAGGCCAAAACGCATAGGCCTACAGAAATTAATTTCTGGCACATAACATTGCACATCAGTGAATGTAAACATACAATTAAATGTAGGCTATAGGCTATAGATCATAGGTAGACATTTTGGACTTAATGTACACGGGAATGTAGGTAATGTATGAGAAATATATACACAGAGGTGTAAAATGTATTGCAAATCAGTAATTAAAATATAAAAAGGGGAAATTATAGTAGGGTGACAGCATGAAACATATTATCATACAGCAAATAATAGTGTATTTTGAAAAATGTTGATGAAAAAAAAAAGTAGCCCTGTGTATAACCAAATAAATATATTTGAACCTTTTCGGTGGAAATTAATTTACCCAAATGTGTGTATTAAGACTTAATCTTCTAAATAAAATGGTTACCCTGACAGTTTAACATCAACATACCAACAACCAATGTCTGATCAGATTACCTGGTCATTGTTTTTTTGGTGTAAATCCTGATCCTTATCGTGTGTAACAGTTGCCTTCAAATGCCAATACAACCTAGTGAGATACTTTTTCTTTGAGTGAATGAATCCGGCCTGAGCACTGGGCTACATGCCCAAGTACATGTGAGGGAAGTTTAAGGAGATTAAACCACATTCCGGACATTTGACCTTCAAATTAAACAGATTAAGTCTATTTCTACAAAGCTTCGAAAATTATTGTTGGGTACTTTTCAAAGTGAACAAAGTATTCCTCGAGAAAAACATTCTATTTGCTATCTTTGGATTTGTTTTTAGACATCCCATTTTAGATAAAGACACATTATAAACTTATTGAGAATTGAAAATATGAACGTGACATTTTTAATCTAAGTGAAATAATAGAATAAATACTATATTAACTCACAAAGTTAGAAGATAAATCAATCTCCAGATATTATAAGAGCCATTTTTTGGGAGGGATTGTACAAAATGTAATTGTATAGAGAAAAAGTGGTAAACATCTTATCACATGCATCAATATGGCCTGAGATTTACAACATTCTGAGACAGACCTGGCTGTCAGTGAGGTCCTTGTTTTCTGTGAAAAATATTGTTTCTACCTTCAGCAGGAAATTGAGTTTGTAAATCCTGGAATGTGCATGCTAAATACACTGCTTCAGATTGAACAGAGTGCTCCTTGTGTCATTTAAAAGGTTTCAACTTTGCAAGCTTGTAAAAGCTGAAAGGCAGCAGCAGACCTTTGCAAAGCTATATTTGACTGCCTTTGGGTGTTTTTATTTTGCTATAAAAGTTTGAGTCCAAAGGTGTGCTTCAGTGGGTTATTATCAAAATGTTGTCTGACAAAAATACTATTTCTTATCAACTCATTTGCTGAGCTCTCAAATTAAATGTTCATCAATCTTTTCTATTCTTTGTTTGTGATGTAAGTTACCAAAATGTATTGATGGGGATTTATAAATCCCTCCCTTTTCCCTTCCACTAATTACAGTTCAAGCGGTTCATATAGTATTTTTAGCAAATGGAGTTCATACGTAACTGGGAATGTTGAATAAGGGCTCTTTGGTGTAGGTCTGCCTGTGTCATGTTCCAGTGATCGCAGACAAACAAGAACCTGGTGCAAACACTCAGACAACCAGCTTACAAAAACAGAAAGAAAGAGTCACTGGAGCACTTAGGCCTCACCTCGGAGTTAAGGAGGGATTGTTTTCTGAACCTGTTTGAGAAAAAACAGTAAAATCCAGACGAGATCACACCAATTGGTTCCTTGCCAACAGATAAGGACACATGGCAGAGATGACGAAAGAGTGACCAGGACGTGTAAACAGTGATAATCAGGAAACGATTAGCAGAGAGCTGGCATGTGAATGTTTGACAAAGGACCAAAAACCACATAAGAGAGGAGCTACCTCAGGAGGAACCATCGTACAGAGCCTTTTCTGAAACATTTTGGTTTCTGGATTTTAGTTTCCTTTACTAACTAAACTGCAGTCATGCCGGGTGAGGAAAAGTTGTCGTACCATGAAGCCATTGAGAGGGCGAGCAGCTCTTTGTATCGCTTCCCTCTGCTCCCAGTCAGAGGGATTCCTCTCATGAACCATATCGCCAACAGCTGGGACACTATCTGGGCTTTCCGTCCTGACCCCTCAGACATCCTCATCGCCACCTACCCCAAAGCAGGTAGGCCACTCCAATTCAGGTCTAATTAAAGAAATCAGTTTGGATCAGGGTAATTTCTTTGTGTCATGTATTTCTTTTGAACGTTTTGTATTGTTATAAAGCGTTGTTATGAATAAAACTACACGACACCAGGCTATATGGATGTTAAATATTGCTCCTACAACAGCAAAACACCCATTGCCATTATAATGATCAATTTTAATATATAATAGTAAAATACTCATGAGTAACTCCACTTTGATACTTTTGTACTTTTGACCATTTCTCACAGTGTAGTTTTGCTACTTTGACCAAAGTAAATAATACTTCTTTCAGCTAACTAAACAGTTATTTAAGGAAAAGTACATAAGCTAGTAAGCTGGTATTTGACCCCAAACTGGTGCAATTTAATACAAGGAAAGTATCTTTGTATAAATCAGAGTTATTTTTGTGTTCCTGGCACATTAGGGACCACATGGACCCAGGAAATCGTTGACCTGCTTCTTCACAACGGAGATGCTGATGCCTGTAAACGAGCCCCAACACCGGCACGCAGCCCTTTCCTTGAGATTGTCTCCCCGCCACCAATCCCATCAGGTGTGAATTCATGTGGTTATGTTACTTTACAATTGAATGAAGTCCATCTTCAAGAGCACTTTGTTCCAGCAGCTAACGCTAAACTGCATTTATGACTTCCAAATACATCCTCAAACTAGGTCCTTCTGTGCCGTGTTACCAATCAATTCCAGGAGAAATGTCATATTAACCCATACAAATCTTTCTTGCCCCACTGGTAGGCTACTGTAGTCAAAACCTGCTTTATCTATGATTTAGCAAAGTTCATTCATGCTAAGAGTGGGACTCGCTCTCACAAACATAAGCATACAATTGAATTAATGAGTTTTTCTTTATATGCTCAAATCTTGTTCCCTGACCTTATGTTGAAGGTATTGATCTTATGAAGAACATGGATCCTCCAAGAATCATCAAGACACATCTGCCTTTTCAGTTGGTGCCTCCTGCATTTTGGGAAAACAAGTGCAAGGTAAGACTGTCAGACTATAAGTGCAAAGTCCTGCAGTGAATTGAATCGTCTTACATGGGACCATAAAGGTTGATATAAAGCATGACAATTGGGTGAGAGGTGAACAATACAATGCCATACAACTCTCCTTAGGTCACCTGATTTTCTGCATTGTTGTTGCAAATCCCTTTTTAAATGTTCCTGCTGATTGTGTTCAAAGACGATCTACGTGGCACGCAATGCCAAAGACAACATGGTGAGCTACTACCACTTTGACTGTATGAATAAGACCCAGCCTGAGCCCGGACCGTGGAAGGGATACATGTCCAAGTTCATGAGGGGAGAGTGTAAGTAGATTATGTCACATTCCTGTGGGTCAAGTCACATTTATTCAAACTGCTTGCTATGGTTTGCACAAAGCGTCCGTGAATTACCAACATTCTACAACATTAACCCACTCGAAGCCGTACAAATTTAAATATCAAATTGTTCTTCAATCCATGACGCCCTGTGAGAAACGTGGTATGCCTCAACCAACAACCACCATGACAGGATTAGCTGCATGTTAAAGGTAAAGCCAATCAGAAGAACATTTTTCCTCAGATCTAAAAAATAAATAAACTTCAACTCAAATAGCCCATGGACTATTGTGAACCTGCAGAGAATCATGACAGATTCAGCAAAAACCAAAAGTTATCAGTGGGAAATATTTGTATGAAGGTTATTGCAGTAAAAAATTAATCCAGCCGTTGTAAATATGAACAGGTTGTTAATAAATGGACTATGATCCAGGTTCCCTTCGGCCCTGTCCCAGAAGGTAAGTGGCCTCCCTGGCCCTAAAAAATGTAAACAGACTCAAAGCAACTACAAAGTTACAAACAAAGGCTGCAAAGAGACACAAAATAACTAAAACTCAAACAAAAATAGGCTGAACCACTAGTTTTTCATTTAATCGTTTATTTGAAGAGGGACAATGTACATTGGTGAACATTTAAAACAAATAATGCTTTAAAACGTAAACATGCCGGATTTTTAGCTTTGAGCTAATTTCCATCCGTAGTCCCTCACATACAACATTTAAGAACCTGACATTTGTAAACATAGCAAAAATAAATACATGATATGCAGAAAGAGCATGAGCAGCATATACAAGCATTAACCACATGGCAGTACAATGTAGCAGCTACGACATATAAAGTGCAAGAGATGATACAAGAGCTACCTAAAGTGCAAGAGGAAATTCCCCTGTATTAAAGTGCATCTAGCGGTGATTGCACGTTTGTTTGTTTCTGAACCATTCTTTTAGTTGACCTTTAAAACTGTTCAAAGTGGGACAATCCCGTAACTCAGTTGGGAGGCTATTCCACAAAGAGCTGCCCTTAATTGATAGAACATTTTGACCGAAAGTGGCCCGTCTACGGTGGACTTCACAGTCTCCTCTGGTTTCTGACCTAGTGCAGCGTCCAGTGTGTTTTTTGTGGATGAATTCCCCTAAGGGAGGGAGGGGGGGCCAGTCCATGTAAACATTTAAAAATAAAAACACATACTTTTAAAAGACTTAAAATTGTCAAAACTCAAGAAATTGTGTTTCTCAAGGATGGTACAGTGGTGGTATGAATAAGGCTTTCTGTCAAACACCTTGATAGCTCTCTTGTACAGCTGTTCTATGGGTTTCAGGTTTGTGGCACAAGCAAACGACCAGTTTGTAAAACAGTATTCAATGTGGGATAGAATCATACAGTGGAGGTATGACTTTGCAGCATTGACAGTTAAGAAAGGTCTAATTTGTTTAAAATTGTGCAAGTTGAATTGAATGGTATTGGATACTTTCTTAATATGTTTCTTAAAAGTCAAGTTCGAGTCCATTATGACTCCAAGATACTTGAAGTGGGGGACTAGTTCTATTTCTGCTCCGTTTAAAAACACATTGGATCCTTCGATTTTGACTGGTCGTTTACTGAACATCATGCATACTGTTTTTTTTGCATTTAACTGTAAGCAAATGTCTGTGTGCATTGCTTTTATGTAGGAGAGGCAGTGGGGCCTTTTGCAAATCTGTGCTTGGAGGCCCATTGTTAATCAGTTAATAGAACAACCTGGCAACCCAAAAGTCAATGACTTACAGATGATATACAGATAAGTACATAAAAAAACACCTTGCCTTTTACTGGCCTGTTACCATGAACAATGATTGATGCATTTTGTCTCTGCAGTGGCGTGGGGCTCGTGGTACGACCATGTGAAAGATTACTGGAAGGAGAGAGAGAACAGGAACATCCTGTACCTCTTCTATGAGAACATGAAAGAGGTACAGAGAACATAATGGACTCTGCAATACAAAGCATGCCATGATGTACAAACTCTTACCATCACGTTTGCTCTCCCAGAATCCTCGGCGTGAGGTGGAGCGCATCATGAAGTACCTGGACCTGTCGCTCTCGGATGAGGTCATCAGCCGGATTGTGGAGCTCACTTCTTTTGAGATAATGAAGGAGAACCCCATGGCCAACTACTCCTGCATCCCAACGCATATTTTTGATAACTCCGTCTCCCCCTTCATGAGAAAAGGTGCCTCAGTCAATCCAAAACCATATATTGATCATAATAATAATAAAGGTATGAGCAAGTCTGAACATGTAACACCTTTGAAGCCCCAGGTTTCAAAAGTGAAAGAGTGATCTGCATTGAGGGAATAATATATCATTTACACCTCTTCTCACGTCTGTTAACACACAGCGAGAAGGGCTGACAAAATACCACAAATACCTTATAATAATAATATTGTTTAAGCTGCTAATATTATTTAAAAAGAAAACACTACTCTTTTAATATTCTGTTCTCCCTGTACTTTCCTTAACTGTGTACAACACAGCAGCACCCCCTAGAGCATTATTCACTTTTTAATTTAATAAACAATGACCACTTTATGGTGAACAAAGCTGGATTTATTAATTGATTAAATATCTTTAGACGGGATATTAATATGAGAGTATTTTAGTTATTGTTTTTTTATCATGTATTATAGTAATTCTTAAAGTGTTGTCTTTGGGGATTGTTAGTGTGGGACATTTCCTCTGTTTTCTAATATTGTTTACACTAAACAACCAATTAACATAGTCGATAAGGAAAGATGCAGCACGTCTGTTCAACAATAAACGCCATTTGGGGGAATCATTTAAGAACACTTTTGTTTTCTCTTCTGCGTTTCCAGGTCAAGTGGGGGATTGGAGAAACCATTTCACACCCGAGCAATCAAAGATGTTTGCCGAAGATTATGACAAGAAGATGAAGGATGTCAATATACCATTTAGGACCCTCATCTAAAGGATGTTGGGTTTTATACCAAACTAATGCCGCCTTATAAACCAAAGAATGAAGCACTGATTCTGGGAAGACAGAAATACTGTCAGAAACTTTGACAGGAGCTCAAAACCAAACCAGCAGAGTAAAAATAAATAAGTTTCAGCTCAGGTGTTAATTGCTAGTGTTTAGATTAAGAGGAAAACCATTCAAAAGTATGTTTAAAGAATCAATAAAAATGTGCTCCATGATACAAGGACTTGAGTTTTTAATCATCACTTTATTGCAGCTTATCACGTAAACAATATATAAGACCAAAAGTGTTGTGACTGAGTGGACATGCCCATTTTATGACATGACACCTCCAACAGTCTGTTTGTATGGAGCCCGTAGCGAGCACTGGCAGCTGGAGGCATGTGCTTATTCTGCCCATATGAAGTCATTTTGCAACCCTACACCACACTGTACAAAGCCCAGCCAGAGAAGGGAGGCTGCACGAGACACGAGCAACAAAGACTAGAATAAAAGTAATGAGCTGGAAAGTCAATCATATGAAAATGGACAGAGGACACAAAAAAACAACAGCTGAGAATATCCAAGTTTAACAAAAAAATCACTTTTAATACATACTTTAATTTCGGAGAATAAAATCCTAAATATTTGAATACTTTATCGACAGGGACAGTTCCCGCCATTTTAATCAAATCTTCTTGCTTATATAGAGGCTATGTTTATGTAGATTTTCTTGACAAGTTTTCTTGTTTTTTTTCACAAGTTGTCCTGTGTTTTCTCCTCTCTCTTCTATTGGTTGGCTCACTATGGCTCCCCTCTTTGGTTTTGATCTTCCTCTCCAATTCTTTCTCTCCAACCATAAAGATCTTCTTCTTCTACATCTCTATTTTTTATTTTCTGTACCTGTTGAAGAGAAATAGGATATTTTAGAGAAGGACATGATTATGGGAAACATGATTTGGTTGACAATGGATACTGACACAAGGACACTTTTGACAAATATTTGCAGACAAACAAGACATCATGACATCACTAAGAGAACATGATGCTACCTATAAAATAACCTGTACCACGTCTCACTCAGATAGAAATCTAATGAAAGCAGCAAATTAAACTGGAGTAGTGATTTTGCACAAACAGCTTGATAATCCCATTTTAAAGTATTTTTATAATTAGGTTAGGTGCATTGCAATTTAAGCATAATAAAACAGTGTTTATTAATGTAATTGCTGTCATGCATTATCTGGTTATTATCCAGCCCTTGTTGATGAATACAACAAAGTAGATTTATTATTCTATGTTTATATAATGCTATGCTTTTTGTGGGACACCAACAATATCAAGCGTTTTTACAAAAGTGGTACCAAAACAGGCATTGGTCACACTCCTGCCTACAGACAGAAACGACCAACAGACAACAGCAACTCAGAGGTGATGAACGACTTCTGAGGATCTCCACATTCATTAGTCATCATGTCACCTTGTCAATTTGGGACAGATGTTGAATGCATTTAGTAGAAGGGAGAAGCCAGAGAACCCCATCAACAGGAGTGTGATAATATATAAAGCAGACACTGCTAAGGACGGATGGCATAATGACATACGGGACAAAACAGACGATACACCAACATGCACACAAACTACAGATTATTTGAGTTGTGGAATACCTTGATGTAGTTACACGCGGGGGGCGGGTGAGTCTGGATATCAATAAGGGATAAGTGAGTTAATGATGAGGGAAGGGTGGAATTAGGCAGATGAAAACAGACATTATCAAACATGATGAAGTGATAAAAGAGATGATAGTACGGGATGAAGAAGAATTAAGTTAAAATATTAATGAAAATGAATTTTAAAAAGATGATAGTATTAATATATTAAAATTATGTTTTTTTTTAAATAAAACAGAACTGTTATTTTAGGTACAAGTTAAAATATGTTAGAGTGAGAAAAAAAGGGACTACTTACAATCAATGTAGTTGCGGGCCACGAACTTCAGCACCTCATCAATGAGGATGACGGGGAACGAAAGCTTCAGGACCACCAACCACTGGTCGACGTTCAGATGGGTCAGATGGAAGACCATCTGGGGGGGGAAAAGAGTGGGGAGGAGTCAGAACTGATGGGAGACGACAGCGGAGAGCAACTACGACAAAAGGCACACGTCACAGAGGGCGATGTTTCCATATAAGACGGCTGACTTACGGGCATGGGGTCAACATAGATGATCACGAAGTGAAGGGACATGGAGAGGGCCATGGCCATCAGCAGCCAGATGTTGACCCATGGGGGCATGCGCAGCAGAGACTGGTTCTCAGACAAGCTTGAAAGAAGAACAAAGAAAAAGTTAATAAATGTTTACCTGGAGAAAAACCACACGAGTCATCATCTCTTGTGACTCAACATTACCTGTTGAGAGCGTTGGACATCTCAATGGTGACCAGCACAGACAGGGCCATGGTCATGGGAGCGCAATGCTCAAAGATCGAGCACTGGACTCCGGTGAAGTCCTCGTTCTCAGGGCAGCACTGCATGAAGTGGGACTGTACAGAGGAGAGGGGGGTTATTTAGTGACTGCTTGTAAGTGTGTTTGAAAGATAACTTCTTCTTAAGATACAGCCCTTTTCATACTGGATTACTTCTAAATGATTTGATGAAGAGGAAGTTAATTTCCATAGTGAATATTATGCTTTTAAAAGCCAAGCCATTGTATTATCAAAGCTGTTTATGAAGACAATGAAGACGTATTTTATAAAAATGATGAGATGAAAATATTAGAAGTTAAATTGTATATTGAAATTGTATATGTGTCTTTTTTTCAAGTTGTATGCTCGTTATGTAGGTTGATTATATAAGAAATATGTTTTAAAATAATTAAAGAATGGTAAATTACCAGCTGGTAGTAGGAGACACCGGGTCCCTCTGGGTCATAGATGAACCAGTAGGCAGCACCTCCAACAGTTGCCATTCCAACGTATCCTGTGAGGGAGACATGACGGAGTCAGTGTAGGCGGGGGTTTTTCAAACCGAGTACAAACATGGCGTCCAAAGTCCTACTTACCACCAATAACCATATATCTGAAGAACAACCATCCGGAGATCAGGGGCTCCTTGGCGGAACGTGGGGGCCTGCCCATGATGTCAAGGTCTGGGGGGTTGAAGCCCAGGGCGGTGGCGGGCAGACCGTCAGTGACCAGGTTGACCCACAGAAGCTGGACGGGGATAAGAGCCTCGGGCAGACCCAGGGCGGCAGTCAGGAAGATACTGAATGAAGAAAAGGATAGTAATCAGACAAATGGAGACAGAGAGAGAAGACTGAAGTGTGTCAATCAGAGCTTCAGCCACTCACCAGACGACCTCACCAACGTTGGAGGAGATGAGGTAGCGGATGAACTGCTTCATGTTGTTGTAGATGGCTCTGCCTTCCTCAACAGCAGCCACAATGGAAGAGAAGTTATCGTCAGCCAGGACCATCTCAGAGGCAGACTTGGCAACGGCAGTGCCAGAGCCCATGGCGATGCCGATCTCGGCCTTCTTCAGGGCAGGGGCATCATTCACACCATCACCGGTCTATGGAGGGAGGAAAGGACGCATGAGTTCAACTACTCTCAAACAAAACACATGTACGGACATAACAACCTGACACAAAGCCACCAACACACTGTGCTCTTACCATGGCAGTAATATCATCGAATCCTTGCAGGAACTCAACAATCTTGGACTTGTGGGATGGCTCCACACGGGCGAAGCAGGAAGCTCTCTTCACGGCCATGGTCTGTTCCTCCAGGGGCAGATCGTCAAACTCACGTCCGGTGTAGGCCTTTCCTTCAACATCCTCATCCTCGGTGAAGATGCCAATACGACGGCAGATAGCGATGGCGGTTCCCTTGTTGTCACCTGGAATATGGAGGAGGAGAGGTTTAGTGAAGTGAAATGAACGTTTCTAGGATTAGGGTTACAGTGTATTTTTGATCAAATTCAAAACCCACAATAACAACTTTATATTAAACTTTACACTTTGGTTTAATTTAGATTATACATTTTCCTTACTCAAAAAATCTTATATAAAATATATAATTCATTAATCATTGTTCTACAATAGAACACAAGGTTATAATAGGTTTGAATTTAGTTGTTTTTATATAATTAGTGATAGTATTTTATATAGTCGGCTATATCTCAATGTAGCTGCATATACATAGAAAATACAGTTTAGTTGTAAAAGTGTGTTGCAATGGCACCATCTACTGGAATGTCTAGTATGTTTAATTTTCACAACATTTTTTTAACCTAAATTCATGCTGTCTCCTATTTTCAATTCTAGTGACATATTTAAATTGAAATGAATTTGTATTTATTTTTGCCTTGTTTTTGTAGCACACAATATCATTGTTGTGGTCCTTCTCTTTTCCTGCATAATATGTATATCATGTTTTAAGTTAGTTCAAGTTTACTAACACTATTTTTCATTGGTTATTTATATCTTAGTTTCAGTTTGAATGTACTGTCAATGCTTAAGTTGGTTTATATCTTCCATATGTATACACTTATATTACAAAATAAACTGACTTGTTTTATGGCATCTGGTTAGATGCTAAGTGCATTTCGTGCAATGACAACAAAGATCTATCAAATCTAGTTTAATCTAAATCTAAAATGACGGCACATTTCTGAATTGATAATCCTTCCAGCCCATAATACTAACCAGTAATCATAATGACACGGATTCCAGCAGCTCTGCAGAGCTCGATGGAGCCGCAGACCTCCTTACGGGGGGGATCCAGCATACCCACAATACCAACAAAGGTCAGGTCAACCTGAGGAGAAAAGCGTGAGTTCAGTCAAAGTGTTCACATGTAGTCAAGGTTACATCCACACATCTCGTTATGGAGGCGCTGGGCTCTCACCTCGTAATCGGCGAACTTGGTGGCATCCTCGAGGTTCATCTCGTCCATCTTCAGGGGGGAGTCACGGGTGGCGAGGGCCAGGCAACGCAGGGTGTCACGCCCGGTTCCCCACTCCTTGATCACACCCAGCATCTTGTCCTTGATGGCGGCGGTCAGGGGCACGCGGGTAGCTCCAACACGCACGTATGTGCACCTGTCAATCACACCTTCTGGGGCGCCCTGTGGTAGAAAACAGCACGATTATCTCATGTTGAGTTGAATGCTTCACCACCAAAGTGCAGCTGTGTGATCAAAGGCTGTGAAAGAGACGAGCAACTTGCCTTCACGAACATCTTGGCTCCACCATCACCCTTAGTGGGAGTGCAGTACACGGACATGGACTTCCTGTCACGGGAGAACTCAAGAGTGACGTCCTTCTTCATGAGCTGCTTGACAACCTGTTGGATAAAAGTTTTTTTATTAGAAAGGCAGGTTGGTACAAAGTAATAGATTTGCGATGGTTGGATCAACCTGGTCACATCCAGCTACCGCTCATAAATGTGAATGTTCAACAACATGTAGCAAATGGAGGGAGGAAACTTACTGAGCAACAGGCGGTGGCTCTGTCAATTTTGGAAAGGTTCTTCACGTTGCTGTTGAAGACGTTCATCTTCTCCACCAGGCAGGACAGGGCGGTCTCAGT